ATATCACCAGGGTTTCTCTGTTAGTCATTCACAGACAGATGACAGTTTATCTAGGCAGTGAAAGCAGAGTAACATCTGCTCTGTAGAGACATTTAGTATTGCCCACCAATGCCAGCAACAAGTTGAGAAGAAACACATTCCAAATTCCATCCTAGAGCACACCAGAAGTTTAGGATGGGAATCTCAGGGAATTTGAATGATTGGAAGATCATGTCACCACTTTAAATTTGCAGATAAATGTTGGCCCTGCTTAGGTAATTTTAAATATTGGGAAAATATGAAAAGATGCAACTATCCATTAGGGTGATACACAATTGTAGTTCTTTTGTTGGTCAAAATAGTGAACGACTGACATTTTCATAAGTTTAAGCCTAGTGAAGGGAAAGTAAGAGTATATGCATATCAACCGTACTTTTGTTTCCAAGAACATTCAATAAGAAAGAACCTTAAAGGAAAGGAAGTCCAGCTTTCTCCATTTAGAACTTGTGTTTATACAGTTAGATGAAAATATGTGAAAGCCCTCAAATGTTGATGGGATAAATGAGACAGAAGCAAATTTCATACTTTTGTCAAGCAGTTCCCACAGTATAAGAGTCACAGCCCCTTCTAGATTGCATTCCATTCTTAGTGGCTCCCAGGCCTCGGTGAACCTCATGGTCTAAGGTGGCTGCTAGAGTTCCAGCCATTAAGTAAACAGGGACAGTTCAGAGAAGAGGTTTACAAGCTTGACAAAGGTTTGACTTGGAGAACCACAGAAACCTGAATTTCATCTTGCAGTTGCTAGGAAGCCTCTTTAATGTGAAATATGATTGGGTCTCTATGGCAGCACCACAGATGGTATTGAGGAGCACACAAAGGAAGACAGCAGGTCAATGCAGGAGCACAGAAGGTGGTAAAGAGAGAGGTGTAGCAGTAAAGGCAGAAAGCATAGCTTTTACTTTCTGGGAAGTGTAGATGTGAAGAAAGCACAGAGCCCATATGGAAATGGAAAGATGAAGCAAGGCCATGAGGATTTTTAACTTCTTTCTGAGCATAAGTGAATTGGTATGAGGAAACAGGGAGCGTCTGCCAAGAATATTTCCAGAAGAAGCAATACCTTCAAAGAGAAGTTGATTTAGAGAAATTGTGCAAAGATGGAGCCTGGAAGGGTAGATGGTCACCATTGAAGAGGGGTTCTGCTAAACACAGTTAGGTCTAGGCTAGAAATAAAGTCTTATAAAGGGCTAGGTTATTGGGAGATGGGCATTTTTGGGTGCTGCATTTACTGAGTAATCAAGAACCATGGAGTTGTCTGGGCTTGATTGGAAAGGGCAGATATCCACCGTCCCTGGGGTAGCTATACAAAGAGTTCAATTGCCACAACCTTCACCATGAGTGCTCATGACCCAGTGCTCTCTTCACTCCAGCCTAACAAATTCCACAGGATTTATTGGTGGGCTCTTTCAGGCCTATAGAAATCAGTTTCTTTACTTAATATGCTCCCAACATAGTTATTACTATAATTGCTTATCACTTAATTCACAACTTTGTAAATTACACGAAATATATAAGAATTCTATCTTTAGTAAATCTTGAGGATATAACTTACCCACTGGTCACTTGACTATAACAAAAATAAAAAGTCTAGATTTGTGTTAACACCAGGGCATATTGAGTGTGCATTTGTGGGGAAAGATCAGTTTAAAGGAAAGCTCTTCTTAGCCTCCATGCTCTATTTTAGGGCCCTACTGTGGGCACTGTACCTCTCCCTCTAAGGTGCCCCACACTGCATTTAGGGGACTATCCACCAGGTACCACAGGGAATTTGAGAGTTCATCCCTTGTTGAGAGCCACAGCCAAAGGAGCCCCAGCAAACTTCCAGCTGATTGGCTCACCGTGGCCCCAGCAAACTTCCAGCTGCCAGCTGATTGGCTCCTCTGCAGTGATGCTCATTGGGCTGTTTCCCCGCCCTTTCAGACCACAGAGCTGCTCATTGGGGGGCTCTTTTGGCTCCGCCCACACGACCCAGCCAATTGGCCTTAAGAGCAGGAGGAGTGGGGGGGGGGTTTGAGAAGAAGCTCGCAGAAGCCAGTGGTGGCAGTTGGGCTCTGAGGGAATTTCTGAAGAGCTCTGTGGTATAGTCCTGTGTTCTAAAAATAAAGTTCGTTTTTGCTTGGTAAGTGGCACGGTGAATTGTGCCCAGCCAGACTGCTGCAATCCCTGAATTTGGGCATCTCTCCCACCAGTTTCCATTAATACAGCCCATACAACATGGTCTGTGTTGTCAAATTTCAGAGATACATACAATGGATAGATACAGTAGGTAAAACAGACTAGAACAGGAAGAAAGAGAGCACACCATGTAATGTACAGTCTAGTAAAGGGGAGAGATTAAAGAGAGCAAGTGAAGTTATTCCACTGGGGAGGAGAGAGTCAGGCGGAAATGCATCTCTGAAGAAGAATTGCCATTGGAGGTGAGTAGGAATTAAAAAAAAATAGAATAGAAGTCGTGAGTGTGACAGTGTTCAATGGGTTTCAAGCGCTAAAAGTATTTTGTCACTACAGCATTACAGCAAAGAGGAAGAGGCCAGAGGTAGCAATGTCCATTCAACCAAATAGTTGGCTAAACTTAAGTTCAAATTTTTCATCACTGTATTCTACAAAATAAAGTTTGTAAAATTGAATTTAAATGATGCAGATAACCAACCTTTCTATTTTCCTTCTATTAAAGCAATTTCATAATAATTTTGTAATACACAGAATTTGGAGATCAATTCTATGATGTAATTTCCTAAACAGCTTTCAAATGCCTTCATTATAAAAGGTCCATGTTAAAGGAAAACACTTTCATCAAGTCAAGGTCCAAGCTATTTATCATGGCAACATTCCAATGAATGGTGAGTCAAAGGGAAGATTGTTTTGCACACAAAATTAAAGGAAACATTATAGCATTAATAGTCACTTTAATGTATTTTTGTATTTACAAAAGCATCCATCTGGAGGTTGCTTGAATTTTGGAAAGTTCTGTGATCATTTAATGCACAGTAAAATTTGTGTCCAATACAAATTAAACACAATCTTTATTGATTGATTTGATGTGAGGTAACTATTTCAACTTAATTGCCTTACTCTGAGAAAACCCTTGGGGAAAAGCAATCTGTCTCTACTCAGCAAAAGCAGCTAAAACTACAAAAAGAAATTTCCATTCTGCCTTGAGATGTGATATGCTGACTCTACAGGCCTCCAGCTTGTTTCTTACATCTAAAAATATTAAGTTCAATAACTTCACAAGAATAGAATGAAAGTTCTGATGTTTACCCATATTCTGACAAAATATGACCAAAATAAATATTGTACTTCCCTGATAAAGATTCGTAAGACTTTATGGTGAGGTCAATTCTGCAGCCCACAGTCTTAAAGCCATGAGTTTCACACAACAATTTGTTCAGATTCTTTTAAACTAAAAGACCAGAATAGAAGAAAGAAGAAATGGCAGATATGCCAGAGAGAAGAAGATACCTCAGAAATGTTGCTCAGCAAACTAAGAAATGGTTGCCTGCTGTCCCCAAATGCCTATTGCAATCTAAACAGGCTGTGATAGTGCCCCTACATTATTTTTTCTACTTTAAAGGAAAATGGATGATAGGTCTTGCTGAAGTAATACCTGATTAGATCATCTACCTACAGGTGCTCCACGGAAGGTGCCAATATAGTCTGTCTTCCAAGAAGCCTGGGCATGGTCATCAATGTGCTCACTACCAGTGGAGGCCTGTTCCCTAAAACACATGCACAGGGAGACTTGCAGCACACCTTTATACCCACTGCTTTTATTAACTACTGACAACCACTGTGATTTCCTGTCTTTTGAAATTAGCACCTCAACAATCTATAAATTCAACATTTGCTACATACAACTCTTAAATCTAAAAAAAAAGCCCAACCCCAGCTCTGGTTTCAGATAGCATCTCAATCTTTCATTCCACAAACAAATGAAACAACAAAAGAAAACCAGAGACCTCAACACTGAATCTATTTCATTTTGGAGTGTTAAGGCATGGTAGGCAGGGATCTTTTTACTTTCAGTCTAAAGATGATAGCATGTATACTATAAAATAGTTTGGATTTCCAAGGCATTTTCCCCTCTGAAATTAAACTGGTAGACAGTCTGTAGAATATTGTACATTTATCCTACTGGCTGAGCTGGCTGAGCTACCCCCAATCTATTGTCGTTTTAATTCGAACAGGGTTGTATCATCTGCAGTTAAGAAAAGCAGAAAGTACCCCCGACTCTACAAGTTTTTTTTTTCTTGAAGACACTGAACCTGTCTGTACCCCACACCTAAGTGGCAGTTAGCCTGTTTCCATTTGGGACAATGCCTCTTGAACTGGTTTAAAATTTGACACTGACAATCTCCATGTCCAAAGAATGGGATGGGGGCAGAAGGAGAGGACAGAAGGACTCCAATTTCTTCTCACTCTCAGAAATGTAACCATAACATGAAGATACTTCGTACCAGACTTCCTCCTGGTGTCAGAGCACAAAAAGTGACAATCTCTTAGGTAGTTCACCAGAACAAGCTCCTCACCCTCCGGCATTCCACAGCGAAAAGCTAACACTTGATATTTCGTGAAGTTCTCCCAATTCCCCCTGATCTCCCTGAAGACCAGAAGCATTCCCTTGAGATGTGAGGCTCACACCCGCCCCAGACATTCCTCACACCGCGTGCACATCATACTCCTAGACTTTGATGATTTACGACGCAGAGAGAGACTGTGAACCCAAAAGACAGTGACAACTGGAAAGGAAAACTCCAACCTTAGCAATCAGAATTCTGTCTGCAACCTGCGCCTGTGCGGGAGCTGAGTGACGGGCCGAGGAGCCAATCAGCGGCCGCCCCAGCCGTTGCCAAGCCCACGTTGTGTTGGGGGCGTGTCCACACCCTGTGCGTCTCCGCCCGGGAGCCAATCAGCGGCCGGCCCCTCCGTTGCCATGGCCTCCCTGTGTGTTGGTACCGCGTAGGCGTCACTCGCGCCCCAGCCGGGTAGCCAATCCGCAGCTGGCCCAGCTGTTGCCCTGGACGCTCTGACTGTTAGGCCAGCGCTTGCACGGGAAGGGCAGAGACCCAGCCTGGCTGTCCTGGTCCCAGGATTCTCCAGGGTCGCCCTGCCACGCGCGCAGAGACACCGCCAGATTCCATGAGCTCCCAACATGAACCGAAAGAAATTGCAGAAGTTGACGGACAACTTAACTAAAAATTGCAAGCACTGTAAGTAAGAATCAAGTGCTGAACAAGCCGAGGTTCCTGGGTCAAGTCTGCTCCTACCCAGTGCAATTTCCCTGCTGTGCCTACTTCCTGCCTCCAGGACCTGTGTGACCATGGGCCCACTCCAAACCCCTAAGAAAAGTCTGAAAGAGAATCCTATCCTGGGATGCTAGCTCCTTGGGCACCCACGCCCAGGACCTTGAGAACTACTCTCCATGCATTTAGTTCTACCTACACTCGAGGACACTACACTTTTCTGGTTCCTCAGACCCTCTTTGCCCTTGGTTCTGGCCTTCGGTGCTGAGACTGAACTCAGGGCCTCTCACGTGCTACTTAAGGTGTCTATCACTACCGACCTACATCTCCAACACCACCCCACTCCTGCATCCTTTTCTAAAATTTTGAGATTGGGTCTTGCCATATTGCCCAGGCTGACCTCGAATTTGAGATCCTCCTTTTTCTTGCCTCAACCTCCCTAGTAGCTGGCATTGTTTGGCATATGACAGCATGCCGGGCTCTCAGACCCTCTTCTTAATTTACTTTTACATTATAGAAGTGAAATAATATGTGTTCATGAGACATGTAGTTTTAGCCTCAGACATGTTGTAAAAGAAGTACTAAAACCCACCGGACTCAAGAAAAGAGCATAACCAAAGGTGCATCACCTTAGCCTGCTTTTCAGCTCTTTCCTAGAGCAAAATAAAGGACAGGTCCAAGTTCTGGAAGCTTAACAAGAGATCCATAGGGGAAAATAGTCATAAACAACTGATCATCTTTAGGAAAGATGAGTTGAAGTGGTACAGAAACCTGTCTCAGAGCAAGATTTGTTTGGAAATAAAATTGCTCAGCAGAGCTAAACATGTGGTAAACAATCTGCTCCCATCTTTACACTTCCACTTTCCAATTGCTAATATGGTGGGAAGGTAGAAAAGACTTTCTAAGTGACAAACTGAATGTTTATTAAAGACAGCTGTTCTAATCTCCCTGTTGGAAAGGCAGTTCTAGAACGTCATAGAACACTTTAGTATTGTATTCCAACTGTACTTTGGCTAGAAAGCAATAGATTTGGTTTAGAAGAGGATGATATTGTCTGGTTCCCAGGCTTCCAAGTTGTATGCTGATTGCAAAACTACTGGCCCCTTGAGGAAACAGGAGAAGCCATGGTCCTCAGAGAATACCCATTATGCAAACAAGAAAGAATAAACATGCTTAAGTGTGATTAAAGGATCTAGTGCCTTCTCATCATCATTAGTATCTGATGTAAAGAGTGGTAAGAATGTTCTCTTCGTGGGTTGGTGTTATAAATAAAAGTTATATTGAAGGTATTATTACAGACCTTTAATTTGATGAGGATTTCATTCTATTATTTTTCTTAAAACACTTTTATTTCTTGGAAAAGACTAGAGATTCTTAAAACATCTAGTAAACATTTTTTATAATACTCATAAACAATGCAATAACTACTATACACAGTACTGATTTTGATTTAGTCTCTGTTCAGTAAGTTTCCAATGCATTGAAAACATTCTGTGAACAATTGAAAAGTGAACGTGTATTTTAAAAGATAAATGAAAACACACTTCAGAAAAAATCAACTCTTGATTTTTGTTCTTACAAAAAAAAATTTAAGTGAGCCTTAATAACTTTGATGATTAAAAGTAAACATCACTACGTTATGTAGAAATAGTTATAGGTCATGGACATCATAATAATTTTAAATTTCTTTAAACAGAAGGCTTTTACCTAAAGTCACATTTCTTTTATAGTTTCCAGATGATAATGCAATAGATGAAATGAATACGTATTATTGAATCAGAGAAGAAGAAAAGAACTTAAGTGAGCATCTAGTTAATTCTCCATCCACCATCTTATGATTCTACAATATGATCTATAGATCACATGTAGAGGTTTCCAGAAAGATGAAAGCCATTCCATATCAATGTCCCCTAATTTCGTGCAATAGGATATTCTAGAATGTAAGAACTATTTCAGTAAGAAAAGTACTCATGGCCAACCTTTGATCCTTGAATCAATTTTTGAGCTAAAAGTCAATTGATATATTCAGCTTATGTTCTTTAATTTTTATTTCAGTTGAATGGAAAAATGTCTAATTAATATCCCTTCTGCTGGCATTTAATACACATGAACACAGAGCATTCTTCATATAGGATTTTCTTCCCCAATCCCTAACAAGTCATTTTAAAAGAGCTTTGCATGCATGTATAACACAAAATTTCCCATTTTAACTGTTTTAAGTGTATAATTCTGTGATTCTGTGGCAGTAAGTATAGAATTTCCCCCTTATCTATGTGGAATGTGTTGCAAGACCCTAAAATAGTGTATAGTACTGAACTTTGTATATCCCATGTTTTGTCAGATATATATATATATATATATATATATTACATGTATATATGTGTGTGTGTATATATATATATATGTATATCTGTAATAAATTTGAATTTATAAATTAGGAACAGTAAGAGATTCACAGTAATATCACAGTAATAGAACAATAATGACAATATACTGCAATAAATGTTATCTAAAACTTATAAATACTTTATTTCTGAAACTTTTAAAAATATTTTCAGACTGTGGTTGAGCATGGGTTACTGAATCCTTGAAAAAAAAAACTTCAGATTTAGCAGGGAGACTACTGTACGTTCATACTGTTATGTAACTACCCATCCATCTCCAGAAATTTTTCATATTTCCCTACTCAAACACTGTACCTTGAAGATTAACTCCCCACTCACTCCTTCCCCCAACCGCTGGCAGCAACCATTCTACTTTCTGTCACTATGAATTTGACTTCATATAACAGGAATCATGCAGGGTTTATCTTTTTATGTCTTGAATTTTCACTTATCTTAATGTCCATAAAATTGATCATTTTGTAGTATGTGACAGAATTTTCCTTCCTTATTAAAGCCAAGTAATATTCCATCGTAAGAATACATCACATTTGGTTAGCCATTCATTCATCAACGAACGCTTGGGTTGCTTCTATTTTTTGGTGATCATGAATAATACTCCTATGAATATTGGGGTACCAGCATCTGGTTGAGGTCCTACTTTCAATTATTTTGTGTGTATATTCAGAAGTAGAATTGCTGGATCATATGCCAATCACGTTTAATTTTTTTATTCATTTGTTGCTGTTGATGGACCTTCCTTCCTCCCTCCCTCCCTCTCTCTCTCTCTTTCTCTCTCTCGCTTTCTCTCTCTCTCTTTCTCTATTTCTCTCTTCCTTCCTTCCTTCCTTCCTTCCTTCCTTCCTTTCTTTATCTATTTCTTTCTTTCTTTCTCTCTTTCTCTC